GACTCTTTTTTACAAAATAGGAACTCAAAGTAGGTCATGAACCTAGACTTGAGAATGCGGATTAAGAATCCAGCCCCACTCTTTTTGAGCCAAGTGCCCGTGGTTAGACTAGTTATTCAATACATTACCTCTGTAAGACTCCATTTCCACATGTGTAAATTAAACAAGAAAAACATACCTGTCTCACAGAGCTGTTATAAGAACACAAAATAATCATCGAATTGTTTCTATAATGCTTAGCACTGTACCTGGTACAGGATAAAGGCTCAAGAAGTGGTAGCTTTGCACTTCTAAAACAGTGAGTGATTTTATTTATTTTACAGACCTCTTAGCACAGTACACAAGAATAGTCCCATGTGAACACTCACTGACTTGACTTATCTTATTCCAGTTCAAATATATGCATATAAGCAAGATCATATTCATTAAGACTGTATCACAGATATTTCTTTTGCAAGGCAGATTTTTGTTCTTCCCCAGTTTCATAAAAAAACAGCAGTTGAGGTTAAAAAGCTAGTGCTTATTCATATGCCACCGTCTCCAGAGTTTATCAATTACTATACATGAGTTAAGTGAGTGTATATATGTGTGTGTGGTGGTTAGGGTGTTTAATTAAAGGAATAAAGAGAGAAATAGAAAAAGAATCCAGGCCTAGTGAAAAGTTAAACCCCTATTATTCTTTCTACGCTGCTTTTGTGGTTGTTTCTAGATGGTGGTGGTTTTTAATTACCCGATACAGGAACACTCATTGAAGAAAGGAAGTCCCATTAAACTTCCCCAAGTCAACCTCTATAATTTAGGCAAATAGAGAAGAAAGGGCAGATCATGAATTTAAAGGATTGTGAAAGAAAGAAAGAAAGAAAGAAAGAAAGAAAGAAAGAAAGAAAGAAAGAAAGAAAGAATGAATTTGTATTATCTTCAAATGCACAGTGGGACATCAGCTACCTCTCTACTAATTAAACAAATCCACATTGAAACTCTCTGGATAGAAATAATATAATAGGTTAGCATATTAAGCACACACAATACTGTACACTACTCGGGGGATGGGGAGGCTGGAAGAATCCGCCCATAAATAAGACCTATGTTCTTTCCTGGGTGAGAGAAACATGCAAACATCTAACTTCACTTTGAGATAAAATGAAGAGACACAAAATGGAGGCAGAGGTAGCATTGTTGTCTGAGCTTCCAGGACGGATCAATCATTGCGATTAGGAACAACTAGTTTTCCTTTTGGGGGAAAGAACATTTCATCTGGGCTTTGAAGACTAAACTCACTGGGATAACTGGGGAACTCATCGTTGTTGAGAACTTACTCTGGGCCATATGTTCTACACACTACCATGTTTTACTTAATTTTTAAAGTAAACTAGTTATATAGTCTCAATATAGCTGTAAGGCACTTTTCCCAGGGCCACACTGCCAAAGAGCAGGGGTCTGGATCCTCATGTGGGCCTGGATGGTGCCCCAGCCCGTGGCGGCCCCTCCCCTTGAGTCCCGGAGCTTCCATATGGAATGCTGGAGGTCAGCTACCTGGGGAGTGAGGTTAACATCACGGTGCCCGATTTTCTGTTACTGCCATCAAGCAAAGAATGAGCAAAAGCTTTGGTAAGCAGTTCATTCCTGGAGTCGATTATGCTCACTGCCAATACTGCTTATACTATTCATTACCCAGTATAGATTAACTGATTACAGCTAACTTATAGCTAATTTATGTAATTAATAAGGATCGTTGGATGGAATTGAGTTAATCTCTCTCTCGTCAGAGACAGTGTAAAGGTTAAATTTAACTCAGTTAAGCCTAATTATAACAAATTATACAAAATAACTGAATTACTCAGCGATCTAATGAGGTGTCCCCAGGCCTTTGATTAAGACCCCAGGCCACCAGGTCCTAGCATTTAGCTGCTGTCTGTGGGAAAGGCCAGGGAGATACAAGAGAGCATTGCTACGATGCGGTAGTAGAAACATCAGTGTGCTCAGAGAAAACAAAGAACAAACAGAAAACAACTGGATGTCCTTCTCAAATGGAATGACGCCATATATCATAGTTCCTCCCTTTGGGGTGGTACAGTTATCAAACATTTCACTGCATGCTTCTTTGGGGTCTCCTCTGTGAGCCCCACCTCATTTCTCCAAGCGTCTTTGGTCCTCTTCTCTACCTAATCTATTCTCACCCATGAGGTCTCATTCACTCTCACAGTTTGTTTGTTTTTTAAGTACATTTTATTGATTTTTTATAGAGAGGAAGAGAGAGGGGGATAAAGAGTTAGAAAAATCGAAGAGAGAGAAACATCGATCAGCTGCCTCTTGTACACCACCTACTTGGGGATGTGCCCGCAACCAAGGTACATGCCCTGGACCGGAATCGAACCTGGGACCTTTCAGTCCGCAGACCGACGCTCTATCCACTGAGCCAAAACAGTTTCGGCTCATTCTACAGTTTTTAATACCATTCCCCACTCAAAACCTCCACACATCTCTCTCTCCTGCACCCTAGATGTATTTATCCCACTGCCAGCTTGACATCTCCACTCTAATTCCTAAAAAGTATCTCAAATCTAACATGTCCCAAGTTGAATTATTGATTTTGGTCTGTGAGAGTATCATTTAACTATTTAAGTGTGTTGGCATGATATTGTATTATCATGTGAAAATTATTCTGTTAAAATGCTAAGGGAAAGCAGAGAATCGGCTTTATGTGAATTCTACTATTATAACAAATGAAAATGCAAACGTAAGTGGGAAAAATTCTGAAAAATATCAGCAATATGCTAAAAAGTAATGGTGCTAAAGTCATGGGATGCAAAGTGATTTTTTCCTCCTTATTCACTTCTAAATGTTCTACTCTATGGATTATTTTATTACATTTTATAATGAAAATGTGAGTGTTTGTGTGTGTTTAATCATTTAGATGTTTAAGCAGGAGATGGTTCTTTAACTGGAAACAATACTTGATGTTCTTTCAATTACTGGGTTCACATAATACAGGCAAATTAGGAACAGGGTTCTTTGAACGAGAACATGATATAAGATTAACAGACGATTTTCCTACATTGATGTGGATCAGCCATGCAGTCATCTCAGTTGGCAGCCAAAAGCCCAAACATACAGACTCGGGCATTTTCTTAATCATATAAATATAGTTAGTGGTATACTCAATGACTTGAATATACCACTCAGAGGCCCTCAGAATAATGCTATGCTCAGAGGCCCTCAGAATAATGCTGTCATTTTTCTTTCTGGTGAGATCAAGATGCTATTCTCAAGAAAAGGGCTAGAACAGCCACATCATTCAAGAACATTCATTTATAGACTCAGAGAAGCTAGTTGGCTTTGGCCAAGCTACTTATCATCACGGGTCTCAGTCTTCTCATCTATAAAATGGGAAAGTAAAAACTTTGCCACTAAGGAAGAAAAAGTGGAAGGAAGAGAAGAACAGAGGGAGGAATGTCTTCCATCTGATCAAGTTGTTATGTGCATTAAATGTTATAACAATTTACAAAAGATCTGGTTTACAATACATGCTCAAAAATCCAGTCCTCTACCCATTCAAACCTGCATGTATTAAAAACTTAGGATGTGAAAAAAGAAAAAAAAAAACAAACTTAGGATGTGCGAGGCCTGTGCTGGGGACATGGATATATAACAGTGGACAAGGCTTATTCCCCTACTCTAAAGAGGAGTCTAGGCTGGTAGGAGAGTTCAAGAAGTAAAAGATGGCTAAAAGCCTGTAGGAAATGCACCAGGTGTACAGCAAGCACAGTGCTGTGACAGCACAGAGGAGGGCAGGATGTCACAGGACAAATAACCCCTGAGTACTCTAAAGTGGGTTTTTAATATCAACAATAATGAATGCCCATTAAATGCTAGGCACTGTTCAGAGCTTTTCTAAGCCTTTCACTTGCATTATCTCATTGATTCTATTCTGTGATGACTATTCCTACTTTAAGATAATTGAGACACCGAGTGGTTAAGCAACTTTCCTAGAATCACACAGCCACTCACAGCCACTCATCACTGGAGCCAAGAGCTAACTTTCCCAGCCGCTATGCGCACTGCCTCCAGGCTATGGTGCTTATTAAGAAAGTAACAAGGGCCAAGTGCATTAGACTATCACCTGCCACATAGTAAGTACCCAGTCAATGTTAGCTTGTGTTAGCAATAGCAGTAGTAACAACAGCGGTGAGAGTAATAACCAAAGTTGTAGTGAGTAGTACCAGTAGTAACAGTCATAGCTGTGGTTGTAATAACAGTAGTAGCAGCAGCAAAATGCAAGGCACTCTGCAAATGCTGGCCCTTATTACCAGACTGGGCTTAGAAGCCTTCTAAGAAGCAAGGGGGAAAGTACCCTTGGACTTCTGTGTCTTAGGGCTCCTCCTCCCAAGAAACCCACTTCTTGGTGCAGAAGAAAAACTTCCACACATAATAGAGCTGGCGATTTAGAATAACATCTTCTGAAGTTCCAAAGTGAATAGTTGAATTTCCAGTAACCAAACAACTTAGGAAAATGTCATTTTTTAGAGTTAGTGCTGAAGGGACATCCTCTTGAAGTCTCTTGGGCACACTTGGCATGCAGGGGGCGCTATAGCAAGCACTTCACAAGGACTGGGCCATTTCTTCCTTAGGACCGCTATGTATTATCCCCTTTCCACACAGGAGAAGACTGAGGTTCAGAAGCACTAAACCATTTGCTCACGAGTACGCACCTAGTCAGTAACAAGGCCAGGATTTTAACCCAGAGGCATTAACTCAGCTCACCTGGCTGCTGGGACGAGGGGTGAAGTAGAACACAGGCTGAGAGGGGACCAGATTTGGACAAGAAAAGGGGAGAGGGCAGGGCGTGCTGGGGAGAGGAGCAGCAGAGCAGACACTGGGGCGGAGATGAGTGTGCTGAGACTCAGGGCAGCGAGGAGCAGGCTGGCCAGCTGTCAGGCGTGGGCCCGGGCCTTGCCCGCCCAGAGCTCCCCACCCAAGGAAAACCACAGCCAAGACACACACTTGTTTAGAAGGTCTTGTTTTCAAGTTGTGTTTTGTTTTTGTAATGTGGACCAAGGTTTACAAGACCGAGATCGAAACACGGAGGGAAAACAGCTTCTGTCTTTTTATTTTGGTTTCTTCCAAAATTCACCCAAAGTAATAAAAACATTTGTAAATGCTACTTGGATTTGGAACAATATTTGGGGCCACATGTATACACCGATTTGAATTCTCTTCCTCATGCAACCCCTCTAGAATTAGTTCTGACCCAAAACAACCATCACAGCCTTAGAATGGTAGTCATTTATTCAACCAACAAACACTCCATTGGCTCAGCAATGTAGACATGGCAGTGAATACCAAGAGCCACAATTCTTGCTCCGTGGATTCCACATTCTTTCTAGTTGGAAGAGATGGGCAATAAACACAAAACCAAATCAATAAGGTAATACCAGACAGAGACACACACTTGGGCAAATAGAAGCAGAGTGACATGAAAGAGAGGGATTCAGGGGGAGGATTTACCCTAAGTGGGGTGGACAGGGTTAGCCATGAGAAAGCTGTGCTTGGGTTGAGAAGGAACCCTAAGAAGGAGCCCCAGTGTAAAGATCTGAGGCCAAAGGGAGCCAGTCGGGGGGGGGGGGGGGGGGGGGAGGGGAGACTAGCTAGAGCAAAACCCCCATCAATGATGAAAAGTTGGGGCGTTAGAGAAACATGAAGAACCCAGTGTGGCTTGAAGTTAGGAGAGGATATCCAGAATGGACTCAGGGACCAGATCTGGAGGAATGCCACAGGCTTGGTGCAAGGAATACAGATTTTACTTCAAGCGTCGTATATGAGGATGTTAAGCAGGTTAGAGAAGGAGCGGATTTTTACTGGGGAAAATATCTACTTGGTAACTTTGCAGAGAGGAGATTGGAGGGGGACAAAGGAAGATGAAAACCAGTCGGGAAGGTAATAGAGTGGTCAAGGCGGATGATTTGGAGCAAAGCACAAGGATGTGGAAAATGTTTCCAAGATCGAGGTAAGAGGTCTCCATGAAGAGGAGCTGTGGGGCCCAAGGGGATGTGTGAAATCCAGGAAGATCCCTAGGTTTTGGCTTAAGGAACTGGATACATAAGAGTGTCCGTCAATGAAACATGGAGGTTGGGTGAAGAACAAGCTTCGGGAGGTTTTGGGAACAGAAATCAAAGGTTCTGTTTGGACACAAAAGACTAGAAATGGTTATCAGACACCTCCCATCTTGGAGAGAGAAGAGGGGGAAAGTAGGCTCAAACCATCTCAAAATGGACACCACGAGCCTCAGTTTCCTCATTTATGAAATAACAGACACCCCATAGGCTAGTTTTACAAACTGAATTAAATCCTACTTATAAAAGTCTCTAAACTGTCTGACCCCGAATCCCTGGGCCATGGCAGGGCCATACCAAGGTCCCATGAATGCCAATGTCACAAAGGTTAGCATTTCTCAAGAGACAAGGTTCATTAATTGATTTGCTAAGCCAAGATCCTTGGTCCTGCGGTCCCCAACCACATTGCGTTCTTTCTCCTTATCCCTCCTGGACCAACTCCATCTCCAACATGTTTTTATATAGCACACAACAGTTGCAATGCATTTGGGTTATTTCCCAGGGGCTGCTGAATCCAGGTCCTTAGGAAAGAAAAGATCTTCAAGAGTTACGACCTGATGACACATGACCCCCAGGAGTCCTAATTGGCCTGGGTCCAGCCCTGTTACAAAATGTTAAGTCAAGTGACAGCTAATTCCCATTGGCTGGAATAAGTCATGGCTTCCCTTAGAGCCCTAGGTTGGTGCCCAGTAGGGTGAGTGGCAGGCAAAGGAATCAGTCAGTGGGTACTGGAGGGCACCAGCAGGCTTGCATCATTAACTGTCCTCTCTGTCACATCCCATTGTCCAAAAAAGGAGGGTGACAGAGTATGCAATAATAATAGCCAACATTTAGTGAGTGCCTTCTCCGTATCACATACTTGGGCAAGCGCTTTCCATGCATTAACTTATTTAATCCTTCTGGCAATCTATCAGACAGCAGACAGAGCTGTGTGCATTTCTTAGCTCTAGAACTCAGTAGCTTTGTGATCTTGGGCAAGTTATTTAGGCTCTCCTTGCCTCATTTATCTTAAAGTAAAAAAAAAAAAAAAAAAAAAAAAAAAAAAAAAAAAGGATCTTCCTTGTAGAGTTAAATGTGAAAATGCATGTAAAATTCTTAACAGAGTTCTTGGGAAATAGTAGTCAAAAAAAGCTAGCTATTCTTACTGTAACATTTTGATCCCTGGAAAAGATGATTCCTTAAGCTGCTATTAGTTGAGTGAATATGAGGGGTCAGAATACAGATTGAGTAATACCCGGAGATAAATTTTCCCACCAGCTCTTGGAGAAAAAATAAATAAATTGGGAGAAGCAGCCCCCATCGTCCTGGTGTCCAGTTCTCAGAAATTCTCCACGATGGCCAACACATAAAGATGTCTTGTCCCCTGTAGGTGTTCCAGCAAGTCTCATTAGAGCGAATGACACCATGTCCCAGACACCCCTGGGCTTCCGGAGAGTCATCATAGCGCTAGATGATGTTCAACCCTGTGAGGTTGCTTGCTTCCTGCACTAGAGCCTTGCAGTCTTCAGGATATTACATCATAAGGGTGTCAGAGAGGGGATGGCATCACAGTCTTCGTTTTCCTGTTAATTAGAAGATGCATTAACTATCCACGAGCTTCCACCACAAAGCCCTCAGATATAAGTGGGGGTTTGGCAGGAGATCAGCCGCCTCAGACGCCCTCTGGAAGGAACAAAAATCCTGGAGGTTAGAGTTAAGGAGTGATGTCACCCTCGTCAGTTTCCATATCCCTGATGACGGTGCCTAGCCAGAGGCTCAGATAAACCTCATCCTTTGACAAGTTAAAGCTGGAGATCCCAACCCAGCACACATTTCAAAGTGTTCTGTGGGTCCTTCAACACTGTCCACCAGACTCGGGACTTTTATTTCTTCAGATTATTAATGAACAAGGCATGTGGGAGACATTGAAAGACAAAAGAGCCTATGCATCAGTTTTGCTTGGCCAGTAGGATAGATCATGGGCAGTGGGAATGGCCGGTTGGCCTGGCTTCTCTTTCATATCATTCTGCAGAGGGGAACTAGGTCTCCAGATGGACAGACACGTCTCTCCTCTCCCCAGGCCCTCCCATAAACCCTCCTTCTGGGACTACTCATTCAGAGGCTAGTGGAATAGGCCTTTGGGGATATCGACAGTTGCTTTAGCCGTCACTCTGTTCAGTGTCAAAGTATAAAGTTGCTTCCTCTTCTTAACTCAAACCTCACCATTATTTGGCAATTGTAAAGTTGGTCTCTGGCAATTTCTTAGTTCCACTGAAGTCTTTACTCATATTTGTTTTTAGATTCTTTGATGTTTTTATTGGGAGTTGATGGAAAGCAAATCATCTCCAGAAACCCCTGCTCTGCCATCTTCAAACCAATTTTCTCATTTTCCAGGGAAGTAAACGGGTCCAGAGATATAGTTAGAGGTAAGGCACCCTGAATAGCAGGGATGTGCCAAATTCTTATCTCTTGGCTCCAACCTTATGCAGGAGAGCAAGTCCCTGGGAAAGAGGGCTCCCTGGCTTGATGCTATGGTGATAACCTGAAGAGGGGAAATGTTGTGTTGGAAGAGCATTGCCTCCAGCCAGTTCTCACTGCCTCCTTGCTAACCCTGAGAGAGCTCATCTGGGCTCAAAAACTGGGAAATGTAGTTTGGTCAGCAAGTTCATTACATGTAATTTACTATCTCGTTCCGCATGCAGAATCAAATTTGGTGAGAGAATTAGAAGGAGCTGTGGTTTCCCAGTCAATTAACATTTATTAAGATCCATCTGCAAGATAAATGGGAGGGTAAGTGGATTCATTTATTCACTCAATATGGTTTGTGTCCTTTTTCACATGGCAGAGGCAGTGACATGTGGCGGCCTCAAAACTGGAGCTTGAGAGCCGAGCTGCTTTGGGTTGGCTCTGGGCTCACTTACCAGCTGTGTGGTTTGGGAGAAATCCCCTCCTCTTTAGGTTCTGGACTTTCCTCTACATTGAAATGAGGGCAAAAAGTTTCTACTGGACAGCCCTTTTAAAATCAAATGACGTAGGTAAAGTAATTCACATGGCACTAGGCACATTGTCTGCAATTACAAGTAATAACAGAATGCACTAGATTCTGGTTGGATGAGAGTCTTCAGTATGAGGCTACCTCCTGTCGTATTTAGGAAAGCATTTCAGACATTTTTCAGATCTATATTTTGCACCCGAAACACTGATTTGTTAGTTAAAGGCCCAAGGGTTTGCACGGTCTTCTTAGGCCAACACCACTTTGACATGGATATTTCGCTCTGGAATCTGCTTGGTCTTATAATTTTCGTCTTATTCATAAAACAGATTCTGACTAGGCCAGGGAGTTTCCAGGAAATCACTCAAAATAAGGACTTTTTTTGGACATCATTTGCATCTTCATGTTCTTTTGGCTTAACATGGAATTTGAACCTCTAGTTCATGGGATTAGATTCCAGCAATGTTTTTCTAATATGTACATCCTACAGTGAATGTATATCACCTGTGTGAAAGATCACTTCTTCTAACCCAGTCAGCCAACAGTGAGGAGAAAGTAAAATGAGGTAAATGGATTATTTATGTGAAAAATCAGGTTAATATATATATATATTATAATAAAATAAGATGTATGATAAATATATTTTCATATTTTTTCTTTTTTATGTATATACTTATATAGTCAAAACCCTTCAAAAATACACATCCAACTATCAGTAGTGGTAAAACTGTAGAAAGTGGGACTATATATTATTTCTTCTCTTTGTATGCGTGTGTGTGTTTTCAGAAAAGAGTACAACAGATCTATGTTGTTTATGCACTAAGGTAAAGAGCACAGTTAAAATTAGGTGAACAATCATACTTATCATAGTGCCTGGCAAACTGTAGGTGCTTAATGAAAGTGTAATGATTGAATGAATGGCCCACGATCTGGGAAATTCCTAATGCGTTAACATTTCAGCTGCCCTGGCATATCCATCATTCCAGCTCCACCACTAGATAATCCCTCCAGTATAACAAGAGAAAAGGAAGAAAGAAGGAAAATGAGAAAGAAGATTTAGGAATAAGGGGTGATGAGAGACAAGTTACACCACTTGGTCATGGAATGCTGCATGTAGAAGGCACACTATGGAAAGGAAACCCAGATTTCTTGGGCAGTGTGTAGGCATTTCACGAAGAACACAGCCCCCACTCCTTGGCAACTCCCCGTAGGCAGGAATCAACCTGACCTGTGACAAATGTAGTTAGTGGCAATGATTTGAATCAAGGCCTCCTGACTCCGATTCAGCACTCCTTACAATAAAGAGATACATCTACAAAGCATGTGTATATATGCAAATTCCATGTAAGTTATGGGTTTTGAAGGGTTAGGGGAAATAGGAAAAATAGAGAAGAATCAGAACATTGAAAGGAAAAGAACTTAAGGGGCATATTTATGAGCCTCAGTTAAATATTTACAACCTCAAGTCAAAGAAGATTTATGAATGGCATACACGTTTTTAGGACCTACAAGAGAATCCGTCCACAAAGAAGAAAGAAATAACTCACCCGGTGCAGAAAGTGCCTCATCAGCCCAGACACATCAGCAGGGAGAAATTTAGCAGCAGTTCTGTGGGAAGAAATTTTCCATTGTATATTTAGGATGTCATTCATTGCTCTGCCTGGTTCCTATATTCAAAGGAATATCATTGAGTCTATTTCTTTTTCCTACATCCTTGGAGTTTTGCCCTCTACTCACCCCCACCAAACCTCTATACTGGAAGACAGGAATTAACTGACTGTATCATTACTCCTATACCCCCAAAACGCACCTCCATGTGCCAAAGGGGTGACTCCAATGCAGACCACCGATGCCCCTGGATAACTTAGTGTGCAATCGAATGGAGGTGGAGAACTGTGTCGCCTATATTGCAATTCTCCACTTAGAGGCAATCCCTTCTTTCAGATCATCCTTTTACTTTCAACTCAGAAACAGAACCTGTAGGCTAGCCAGCATCTCAACCTGCTTCGCAGATCTTATCTAGAGGCCACGATGAGTTCTATTTGCTCTTCACACCCTCCTTGTACACAACAGTTTAAACAATAAAGAAAAGCTCCATGTGTTATTAAGGATTTACATTTTTAACAGAGAAAAGGGCCAGACACGGAGGTGACCCTATTCCTGTCCTTCACGGAGGGCATTGGTTCTCCGGCTGGGAAGGACCATAAGAACCTTGGGGTCCCTCCATCCCACCTCCTTGACCCTCATCTTTTTCTCTGTCACTGACTGACCCTCATTTTTTTCTCTGTCTGAGAGAGAATTTTATCTGTATTGAGTGTAAAAAAACACACAACACTTTGGTTCCCTATAAGTGACCTCATCATAAACATCAGTTAATTAAAATTCGGGTTTTGATCTTAATTTTATTATTAAATGATTAGAACATTACTTAAGATATTATCAGCTGATATTATAAACAAATTTCAAAAATAATTTTATTTTTAATATTTTTTTGAGAGAGAGATCAGTGTGTTGTTCCATTTATTTATGCGTTCATTGGTTGATTCTTGTGTGTGCCCTGACCTGGGATCGAATCTGAAACCTTGATGTAACTCCTCAAGATAACGCTCTAACCAACTAAGCTACCCAGCCATGGAGAGCCAAGGGTAATTTAATAGTGATACTATAGTATTGATTGTCTTAATGAACCCCTATTTGCCATATATTCCACTTCAGACTAAAATAGTTGCCTCAGGAAAGAAAGAGAGGGCGAGGAAGAGAGAGAGTGAAAGAGACGGAGAGGAGAGAGGAAGAAAAAAGGAAAACGGATGCCCTCTGCGTTTTCTCCATCATCTGTCTCTGGACCACACGTGGCTTTTAAACCAGTCTCCTCTGCTCTAATTGCAATGACTAAAGGTGGCTCCGAGTGAGGACACCCAAGAGGATGTGAATCCAGGTTACAACTCTCCTCAGTAATTTGATTCTGTACAAATTATCTTTAACTCCTGCAAGGAGAGATCCAGCCCTCAGGGGAATGCGAATTTATTTGGGGTTGTGAGGAGCCACTGTTTTTACCACTTTTTGAAATAGATTTCAAGAATGTAGGAGGCATGAAAGAAATGCCTCTGGCAGGAAAACACCTTAATTCTCAGCAATGCTGGATTGTTCTTAATGCTCTCAGTTGCAGGCGAGAGACAAGTGGAGGACGCCTGCTGTCACGCAGGTCTGCCTCAAATCACGTACACATATGGCCTTGCCCCTTCGGTCTCAGCCAACGACCGAGAAATGCAAACACTGAGGCACAGCTTTCTCTGTTATATATTTTTAAAGTCTCACCTGCGTTTGATAAAGATAAGTTAAATTGATGCACTCACACATCACTGATGAATTCAATTTGGAAAGCAGTTTCACTGACAATTTTATCAAGGTTCAATGTGTTCATGGCTTACAAACCAGTGACTGAATTTCTCATTTCATTTCAATGGAAATACTCTTAATTTCAGAAAAAAAATAAAAGTCCTACACATAAGTTGTAAAGCTAATAATGGCTGCAAATGCCAACAATGAGATTGGCTAAATCAAGATGGCATCTAGACTATACTGAAATTATGCTTTAGCGCCTATGCAAATCATTACAAACTGCAGGTTAGTAAACTCATAAATACTGATTTCTGTAGATATCTAGTGTCAAAGAAATTGTGAGGTTGGTCCTTAGATTTAAATGAACACATTAGTATGTGCTAGAATATTGTATTTCTTGTTCTATGTTTGAGACATTTTAATGCCTTTACATGTGGGAATGAACTGAAATTGAACTTAGGCACCACTCTGAAAATGATTTCATTTTGCACAAATGGCAGACAGCCTTAAAATATGTTAAATGAAAAGGCAGGAAAAAAATTGTTGGGAAAATCTGGTATCAAACATGAAACAAACAAACAAAACAAAAACAAAAGAAAAATGAAAATTTTAAATAGAAAAAAATTCTATTTCCCCTAATTTTCTTCCTACTTTCCATACCTCACCTTCTCCTCCCAGATTGTAATAATCTTTTAGGCGACATGAGGTCTGACATTAGCCATGTGTCTGCCATAAATTTCTTTTTTCTAAATATATTTTTATTGATTTCAGAGAGGAAGAGAGAGGGGGAGAGAGAGAGAAACATCAGTGATGAGACAGCGAATCATTGATTGCCTGCCTCCTGCACACTCCACACTGGGGATTGAGCCTGCAACCCAGGCATGTGCCCATGACCAGAACTGAACCTGGGACCCTTCAACCGCAGGCAGACGCTCTATCCACTGAGCCAAGCTGGCTAGGGCTGCCATATATTCGTTAAGGAACTCAGTGGAACTCATTGATTCCCAGGAGTAGTAGAGCCCTAGGAAGGACAGATGGCTCCGTAGGTAATCAAGCGCCCCATGTCCACATCCACTTGTGGGACTGGGTTGGTGAAGCTGACCATCCACAGAAAAGGGAGGCAAGCTAGACCTTCATTCTTCCTCCACTCCGCAGCTCTCCTCTCCCCGGGCTCTGGGACTTGTCTCCAACCGAGAAAATGTGGGGCAGCGAGGGCCAGGAGCTGCCCTTCCCTCCTGTAACTGCAGGCACCGCTGTCACAAAGGCCTGAGCCACCACAAGGCAGGCTGAGTCAAGTCTCGTTGCCAATTATCTCCCTATTGTTTTTGTGGGCAGAATGCGGTTTTGTTTCTCTTTCGGTGACAAAAGCATGAGCCCATCGTTGGGTAAGGCCTTCTGCATCATTCTGAGAGAACAATTCCTTCCTCTCTTGCATTGACTCACATTCTTGGCTACGGTCTTGTAAAGGAAGCAGCCTCTGGATTCTGCTCGGCCGGCCGGGCATGCAAGAGCCCCTTTGCTCCCAGGCTTCTGATGAAGGAGACTTGCTGTCAGGTGGTGCCGGCCTGTGTCCCCCACTCCAGCCCCGAAGTCCTGTCATCTCCCGAAAGCTCAGATATAGGGTTGGGTGGAGGAAATACAGTCAAACTTGCCATGTCACCTCGTCATGCCCTCAAAACCTGCTAAGGGCCCGTAGTGCGTTAGCTGCCAGCAATGTAACAGCAGAGACCTGCCGTCAATGTCAACAACTCCAATAAGGTCTAGGAGTTCTAGGAATGCCTCGTAGGGAGACAGGCTTTAGTCTAAGGCAGTGGTTCTCCGCCAGGGGACAGTGAGCTACGTCTGAAGACTTTTTCGGATGTTGCAACCTGGAAGGAGAAGGAGGCGAAGACATAAACAGGAGTGCTGCTGACATTGAGCAGATAAACGCTGGGCTGCTGCTGCTGAATACCGTACGATGTCAACAGTGTCAAAGGCGAAGTCCTGGTGGTTTTCAAGCTTAACCTGGAGCACTGGGTCCCCTGCCCAGAGGTTCAGATTTTGGGGTGAGACCCAAGAATGTGCATTGCCCACAAGCTCCCAGGTGATACTGTTGTTTGCTGGTGCAGGGACCATGATGGAGAACTCCTGTATCCGTGAAGGCATGTCCAAGAGAATGACGTGTGAAGGTTTAGCAGGAGTGAGCTGGGGTGAAAGGAAAAGATATGCTATTGAAGGTACTTTGTGCAAAAGCCCACAGAAAGGAGGCGCTGGCACGTTAGAGGGACTGAAATAGTGGAGCACAGTGTCATGGGGTGGAATGAAGCTGAAGAGGGAGCCAGAGGCATAAGGTGCCATAGTAGATGCAGGTCTTTCATCTAAAGCAGTGGAAATGCACTGCAGACAATTTAGCAGGGGATTCTGGGAAACCTGGGCAGGCCACTGGGGTGGAGAGTAGAGGAGGGCATGATGCCTACAGTTTAATATAATAAAAGAGCATGGCCTCTGGAGCCAGACAGTCTTGGATCATAACCCTTGTCAGGCCTCTTACTAGTTATATGATCAAGGGCAAATTATTTGACTTCCATGGGCCTCAGTTTTCTCATCTGTAAAACGGGGCCATCCATACCCCCGTCACTGGATTGTTCTGAAAATAAATGAGCTCATGTTCATAAAAGTGTCTGGCACACAGAGGGCTCAACGAATGTTCATTCTCTCCCATTAAGAGTCCATGATGAAAGGACCAGGTTTCCTCCACCACCTAATTTACATCTCAAAGAGCACCCAGCAAAGCATGATGTCAGCACCCGGGTCTGACCAAAGAGCGTTTGCATCACCTGTGTGCCAAACCCGAGGCAGGGCCTGCTGCTGGCATGTTCAAGGGCAAATTAGGCAACCGCCGGCCCACACAAAAATGCTGCAAAGCTAATGCTAGGTTTGCAGATACCATCACAGGGCTCAGGCCAAGGTTACCTAATCTATTATTGGTTGGACACTTCAGAGGCTCTTTAACCATATCCCTTATTGTTTTGTAGAGTGACAATGGGGAGGAGGCACCGAGCTCAGAACCACAATAAATAATACTTAAATAACCTTGGCCATCTTCAAAGCCATTTACGAACACTCACAAATTAAGACTTACACGGCCCCAGCCTTGGGAAAGTGTCATTATCTTTGTTTCTTCAACACAACAAGGAGGATGAGGTCATGGAGTTGCCCAAACTCCGGCCAGTTGGCTTCAGAACGGGCTGAGTTCATTCTACCCAGGCAGCCCTCGCGGGTCTCTTCCA